GCCCATATAACAATGCTGTGAAAACTGCACACATTACCAGATACTTCCAGATGCTATTCAAAGTGCTGGTTGTTACCTATAAATCACTTCTTTAAACAGATCTATCTCTCACCCATGGTTTATAAGTTCTGACAAATTAAGCATACTCCAAGCCCTGTCTTAAAAACAGTGCAAGCTGATGGGACCCAAGACGTTTCCCTTACCTGTTGTGGTACCGACATTCTGAAATAGTGCTCTCAAATGGTTTGAGTGATTCCAACCCTCTTGTCTTTTAAACAGGCCTTGAAGACTTGGTTTCTCCTCCCTACCCCCCCCCCCAACCCCAGTTCGTGTTAGATGGGATAAGTGTCCTCTGAATGTGATCGTGCTATTGTGTTAGCTTATTTTGGTTCCCTGTTTATTCCCATTTTTCACTTGCATTTTGTTTTTGCAAAATAGCCTTCTAAATTTGATTTATAATTGTAACAATAAATAACCACAACTTGTGAACACTGATAACGCATTTCAAATACAGCATATATTTCACACGGTGGTCAGAACAGAATCCATCATCATAGCTGTCTAGATTCACATGGTTAGCTAGGAACAAAATCAACCAAACCACATTACAGTTTTAGCATAATGCCTGATCTCAGTCATTGTAAATTATTTCTTTTTAATCAAAGTTTATGGAGAAGTTCTGATTTCCAGTTTTCCAATTAGCAAATAGCATCTATCTGTTTAACGGGGGACATGTGTGTCATTAACACAGCCTGGTAATTAATACATGCTGAAACCATGCATGACAAAGACATCACTAAAATATTCTCTTATCTTACTCCCTTATTTAAAAGACAGAAACATTAATACTAGGCTAATTTGTAACGTGGGGTAATTAAAGTCCTGTTGTAACAATTCATTACTGTATTCAAATATGTTATATAAATTTTATTCTCAACATGCTTTAGCTTCTATAGTAGCCTGATAATTCATCCATAATTGTTATCTATCTGTCCTCGGTAAATAATAGTGATGCCTAGGAGATGCTACTGGCAATTGCTAGGTAAACATTTCTATCATGAAAACTGTGAAAGACTGAATTGAAGGCTAAAGAAAGTGGAGGGTAGCTTAGGGTTTGACAGTAGATATGGTACCACACTTATTCCTTAAGCAATCCTCGGAAGACACTTGTTTTCAGCCAAGACAAAACCCAATCCACATAGAGCTACAACATCTAGATGAACACACAATCACAGAAAAGGGACATGGTTAACTTAAAGCTATTCTGGCAATCTATGGCAATGCACAGTGTGAAATCCAACCGTTCCACACAACTTTTTCTGTATATGGAAGCTTGATTTTGAAGTTGCCAGGCCAACTTTAAAACTAGAAATGAATCCAAAAAGTGGAGCGGCGGGGGGGGAGGGGAGATTGTATGTTAATGGGGGAGGCAAATATCTGAGAGCGGAAACGGAGAAAAATAAAACATTAGCAAGTGAGGTGGTAAAGAAGTGAATTTTAGTCATTGAAAGCTGGAAAATGAAAATTACTCTTCCCTATGGAAAAAGAGAGCAGGCAAGCTACTTAGTACAGAAGAAACAAATAATGCTGAGCTTAGTGAGAAGAGAGAATAGGGCCTCTGTGAAATGGAGCACAGTTATTACAGAAAGTGATGGACAAGAGATGCTGCTAACAAAAGACAGGTTTTCTTGCATGGAATCTATCTACATTGCCTTGAGCAGCCATAGAAAGAAAACAACTTTTTAAGGTGACATCACTATGAAATAAACTTGCACTTGCTTACAATGGGCAAAATCAACAGTTGAAAATTGCAGCAGACTCTTTATTGTTCCCAGCAGAAGTGGGTTTCTGTCGGTTTGCCCCGGACTGGGTGAACTGGTAGTGGCGGCGGCAAGAGGCTCTGCCCACCCACCCAGATGCTTCTGTGCATGCACAGAAGCATCGTGAGCGCGCACACGCACACGAGCGAATCAGTAGTAAAATAAATTGAAACCCACCACTGGTTCCCAGCCTAGTACTTTGAGCAGCATCAATTGTCCATCCATTTTAATTTCCCAGAGTGGTCCTGATATAATGCTTCTCTGAGAAACTCTGTAAAATTGAACTATGGAAAATCAGATCAGGTAGCTGGATTATGTGTTGTTGTCCCGCAAGAGCAACCCAGAATTTTGCTTCAAAACCCCTCTCCCCATTTGCAACCCTATTAATACGAAGGCAATTTAACACTGAAGGACAGTGTTCATAGATACCTGCGTGAGGACTGTGACACAAATTCTCCTAGCAGGAGAAGCACACTATTGTATTCCACAGGTTTATGGTAAAGCACCAGCTAGACCTCTCAGCCAAAATATCTATGCAGTTTTCCTCCAAAATAAGTTAGTTGATGAAGCTTTTCTTTATATTTTGTTTTTCAAATAAACGTGTTTCCTGTCTCCGGTGACAGATGTTTACGCAGGACCTATTTGCTCAAACAGTCTTTCTACCTCCAATCACAACAGTGGAAGGACTGAGCATTGACTGGTGTGTTGTCTGATGGTCTCCAAACTCCGAGCGCAAAGCCAGGCTTTGAAACCTGGTATTCTCTGGCACTGGAGGACCCGGCAGAAATCTTAACCCAACATTGGCAACTGTGTCTTGAAGGATGCTGTTTTCTGAACATCCACCCCCTTGGCACCCCATTCATAGAGTTCTCCTGCCTTGGTTGTAAATAGAGCTAGGAAGCAAGGCAAATATGCCAAGCTTCCTGAAGCATAAGAAAAGCCCTTATAAATCTGGGATGAGGGAAACAGCCAGATTCAGCTGTACTTTTCCACCCAAAAATGCCCTTGGAAGGGAAGAGCTAGTGACCTCAGCTTCAGGTCTTGGCAGTGGTGGAAGATGCTTTCAGTGGTCTCCAGAGCAAATAAAGGAGAGAGCGAGAGAAAGGAAGGGACGCCATGTACCGAACGGGAGTAAAATAGGTAGGAGTAAGAAGAGGGATGAATGCATTAAAGCGGAGCCAAGGAAAGGGGAAATAGACACTTTGCTTTAGCCACTCACTGCCCCTGCCTATAAAAAAAATCTGAATCTATGACGTGTTAGCCACACTGCCGGTTATAGAGACAACCACATTACATGATTTCCATTTGGACCTATTTATATTCCACACCTTCTGGTTATTACTGTGCTATAAATATAGGCATAAAATTCTGATACAAATCAATATTGAGACAGGCTGTGGCACCAACTTGTTTCAGTAATACTCTTTTATAGGTAGCAGAAACAAAGATAACTATCTAAACAAATTGCAAAGGTATGTAAAAGTATTGCAACATATTGTCTGGCACAGAATGCCCGGTGCTAACCCTTGACCTGTAAGTGTCTTGTATGAGCATTTTTATAATAATAATAATAACAACTATTACTACCATCAAAGCAGCTTCACCATACAAGGTTCATCTGTAGATTCACAGTGGGCCCATCTAGACTCTTGCTTATGTGGTAGACAAAACAGATGTTCCTCTTTTCCAGTTTATCTCATTTTACACTGCAACAGATGTACGTTTAAAAAAATTAATTTTGCTAATTGGATTTGGAACAAATACCACCATGTGGAGGGATTGAATCTCTGGGCCAGCAATTCCTTAGAGAATGATCAAGGTTCAAGGCACCTAACACCTTCAAGGTATTAGTGGCCTGTAGATGAAACCAGCACAACAGTGCAATGCCAACTGTAGATAAGCAAAGAATTTAATCTCTCAAGGTTTTCTTTGAATACTTCTTTTGCACAAAAACCTGGATGAATAAGAGTGGGCAAGCTTGAATACTGCTATTGCAAAAGAATAATAATACAAGTTTCCACCAACAGCTATTCATGCCAAGAAAAGGAAGCCACATACCTCAGTTTTTCATGTTTCTGCATTTGTTTGATCTGAAATGGAACTTTTTATTGGGAATGTTGAGTTCTGGAAGAAGCATACTTCTGGACTTCCAACTCCCAGAATTCTCTGGCTGGGGAATTCTGGGAGTTAAGGTCCATAGGTTTTAAAAGTTGCTAAGGTTGGATATATCTGGGGTAGAGGAAGAAAATTAATACAGCCAAATCCTTCCTGCTTATTTTCCATTGCCTGCCTAAGAGTCCAAGGTAGTCTTCATAGGTCAGTGAACAAGAAGTGTTACTGAGTATGCAAAAGCAGTTTTATTCCAATACATTTTTTTAGATAGCACTGGTGCTTCAGATTTCTATTGGAATTAGCAATTATCTGCTACCTTTCCTCAGATGGTTGAGATTCAGTTAGGAACAGAAAGTTTTGTAAAATCTATTGTTGGATAATAGTGGAACATTTTTCAGTCCCTTTTTAATGTGGGCTTTTAAAAAATCTAGATCAAACCAGAGATTGGCAATTTGGTGCATAGGAATTATGATGCGAATAAAGCCTCAATGACATTGGTGGAACCCCAGAACTAACTAAAATATGACAATTGTTTTTAAAAAAGACTCCTGCCTCATGCAATTACTGAATATCCCAGAGTATCAATGCCTGACATTAAAATGGTGTGAAAGTTGACAATTTATTGGGATTTTTGCTATTATAAAAATATTTTTATTTTTCTGCTCATTTAAATTACCACTGAAACACCTTTATGGATCACCATTTCAGATCCCAGATTGGGACAATATGCTGGGTTGGATACTTAGTGGTTCACTTTGTCTTGTAAACCACCTTAGATGATGACTATAATGGGAAATCATGGGCAACAATGGGAAGGAAGATGACCTAACATTGTGTGGATGATGATGTTATCTATTTTCCAGAATTTGTCCAGTGATATAATGGGTCTGCCATTGTCTGTTTGTTTCATACGGTATATTGCCTTGAGCTATATGGAAGAAGTGGGGACAGATATTAAAAATAAAAGAGTCCAATTCAAAATATTGATAACTGTGAAATTTATGGGAAATAATACATTCCCTCCAACTTGCAAAATAAACTATGGTTCTCTTTTCTCCATAAACTCAGGTTTCAAGCAAAGATGCGAGCTTGGATTTTCTTCTTCCTCTGCCTGGCAGGCAAGGCGCTGGCAGCTCCAGTGAGTATCATTAGCTCTAAAAACCCATTTTCTGAATGTTATAGATGCTGCAGTGTCAAATTCTCTGTATAGTACAGTTGAAAGTAAGCACTCCAACCCACCTCACTGCTCTGAACACTCAGAAATAGTTCAGCACTTGAAGATCACTCTCAACTTTCCTACCCAATTATCAAAGCTTCCAACTTCTGCTGGTTCATTTTTATCCAGTTGTATCTCATCCCCTCTATAGTCTAGTCCAGCAAGGACCAATCAAGGAGTTTTGTCAATGCATGTCAAAATATATAAGCTTTTAGCAGGGTAGTGATAGCAATTATATCAATATATTCTTTTTTTTTAGTAAATATATCACAGCCATCATGCAGCTCATTTCCAAAGTAAAAAAGGAAATTAATAAGTGAAAGTCATTGAAGGCATGATGCAAGAAAAAGAATTAGAGGTTGACTCAAAGTTGACTCAGCTTCCATCCTTCCGAGATGGGTAAAATGAGAGCCCAAATTGTTGGAGACAATATGCTGACTCTGTAAACCACTTAGAGAGGGCTGTCAAAGCCCTGTAAAACAGTATATAAGTCTAAGTGCTATTGCTATTGCTATAGCTATAGCTATAGCTAAGTCTAATTTAGACAACTTCCATTCACTATACAACTTATTTTTCTGTCCTTGGAAGCCATTCTTGCTTCCACCAAGTCCAAATACCACTACACTTTCTTTTCCTTTCGCTTTTTGATGATTTCATAAGCCTTCAACATCATCTAATCATGACTTTCCTAGTCTACACTTTCCTTTGATGCCATTCACTATTTGATTTTCATTTGAGTCCTTCATTCTTTCATCCATTCTAGTCACTCATTCGATCCACATTAATTCATCACCTATTCATTTTTTACACTCTTCTTTCACCTATTTAATCTTCATTCAATTTATTTTTATGTTTCTCAGGACATACCTGATATTATACAAGAAGAATAGGAAGAGCAAACATAACCACATCATAAGCAAACCACTTCAAAGTCATAGTTTAACATTTCTCAAGTTATATTTGCAGCCTTATCATTTAATGAAATAGTAAAATAACCTATAAACTCCAATATTATAACCAATATAGAAACAACAAAGATAAGAAATCCCCTGAGAAATAAATACATGCATTTATCACCAAGAGAATGGGAAGGATATTTTGTGTTGTTTATAGAAGTGCATTATGGGCCAGGAGAGTTGAATGCCTTCAATTCAGGCTTTGCCTCTCAGAGAGGAATTAGATAAGGAAATTCCATCTTTAAAAATAAGAGGTCAGATACTCCAAGAAGTTCTTGGGAAGCTCTTTGGTTTTCATTGTGGCAAAGGGATAAAAATGCTTGATGATGGTTGAGAGCATATTCAAGCAAAAGGAATATCCCAGCAGTAGTAGAGTTCTAGTACCAACTTGAGAACTCCAAATAGAAGTCTTTATTTGCCTATTTTTTCTCTCTCTTACAGCAAGATGCTCTGCCGGAAGAGATGGAAGTTATAGAGGACCCTGCAACACAGGTACAGAGTAACACAGTACTGGCCCCTTCTCTCGCTTCAAGGCTATACTTACAAGCAAACATCCCCAGGAGTGGGATGGAGAGTTAAATAGTTCTAAATTCTCAGGAGAGAGACTAACAGCAGATATATTCATCTCCTGCTGCTACAGTTTCCCTAAATGCAACTCATTTACTTTATTCTATTCATTCTACATGCATATCACACATACAAACACAATAAACTCTTGTAGGGTGATGTGTTCCTAGTCAGAGTTCCACTTAAGACACCAATTCCTTTTTCAGTTTACTCATTTCTTTTTCTTTCCTGCCCCCAGTTGATTATATCTAGCCTACCAGTCAATCAGTCTGACATAGCCATAACTACTAAAACTGCTCAGCCTTTACTCAGTGGTTGTGTGGTAATGTTCCCCCCACTCATTTTTTCCCTTAAAAATTATTTTTACTCTCCAGCTTATTAACACATACTTCTTATACATAGTTGGCACTGTTTGGTTTGCATGAATATAAATGCTTAGAATTTTACAATTTAAAATGTCAATAGTAAAGAAATACACATCAGGAATAGAGTAAGCAAATTATTGTTTGCCTATAGCAACCACTTAAAAATTATTTAATAAAATTTAGGTGGCCACTTATGCAGCGCTCAACAACACTTATCTTAGGCGGCCCTCAACAACACTAATGAAGTAGCAATAAAAATAATCATGCCACTTGTAAACGGAGGCATCAGGAATTGTTTTTTGGAAAATACCAACAGCTATGACCATAAAATAATACCTTGCTTCTTAAACTCTGGGTGCTTTTTGTAAATGTGAGGGTGTATTCGCATGTGGGTACTTTAAATACACTACGCGGAAGGCAGCATTCTTCACCCTGGCACCTACAAAGTGTGTTGCTGCACTTCAATTCCTAGTGAATTCTGTAGCCTAAAGCTTTGGGAAGGCTCCAAGTTACAAAACATTAATTTGGGGTATTTTTTTGTTTTCTTTCATTTTTATTTGGTATTTTGATGTTTTTATATTACTCTGTTGTTGTGAGCTGCCCAGAGTCATTCAGAGGCAGGTGGCATCCATACTGAATAAATGAAGATTGCTTCCCAATCTTGAGTACAGTACCCATGCTACAGAAATCAGTCATCCTTCAGACCCTAACAGTACTTGATCTCATTCCATCTGTTCATTTAGGAACCTGTTGGAATCAACCCAGTCCAGGTGGAGATTGGCGAATTTGAAGAGACCACTCTGGATGTTGAAGAGATTGTGGCTGAAAGTATGTGGCTGCATAGCCTAATCCCTAATATGTAGTTATATAAAGTATTTTGTGTATATACAAGATCTAGGTGTCTGTAAAAGGTACATACATACACGTAAGATATCAAGAGAATTGAAATTGGCATCTGTCACCATGACATGTGCAGTAAGCCCATTCTTAGAGGGCAAACCTTCAGACCAGTACAAGAAGAAAAAATAAATTTAAGATTTTTCCATTTACAAAAAAGAAGCCATACTTGGAGTGAACACTTTCGGGTGTTCCTTTGTATCAAGAACCCCAGTAAAGATTGTACAGTGGTGTTATATTTGCTATATATTAGTCTGATTGGGAATGAAAATCAAATGGGAATTGTTTGACAAAGAAAGCATTTTTCTGTCTCACACAGAGACAAGGGGTTTGACACCTGCTTTCTCCTCATATATGTGAAGGCTCATGGAGAAAATCTGGGTGTTCACTGGGAATCAAGAATGATGATGGCACATGGTCTAGCATCAGTCAATCTGTTAAAAGTATTTATGTTGTAATCCCATACATACATTCCCCTTTGGAACAGTAGAGAATCCCAAAGATGCTTTTTAGAAGAGGCAACTGGATTTCCTGGTTTTTCTTTGAAGACATTTCACTTCTCTTCCAAGAAGCTTCTTGGATGAGAAGTGAAGCACCTTCAAAGAAAAACCAGGAAGTCCGGTTCCCTCTTGAAAAAAGCACCTTTGGGACAACCATGACCTAGAAGACTGAGAATCTCCATAGACGAATAGTAGAGAACTGAAGTGCATACATTTTCTTTCATTCATTTCATTACAATTCTTGGTGACCGCACAGTTCAGATTTTCTCCATGACAATCTGTCCCTAACCTGGTTTTTCAGGTCTTCCAACAGTATACTTTTCACTACTGTAATCTACCTTGCTCTCTTGCCTCCCACTTTTCCCAGCATTAGGGCCTTCTCCTTCAGAGAGCTAGGTCCTCGCATAACATGATCAAAGTAATTTGAGCATGGAGTACATAAGAAGTGCATACATATTCATGTGAGACTGAAAAGAATCAAGCAGGTTATTGTATCAGATCTGGAGTGTAAAGAGAATCAGATGATGTTTAGGAAGAGTTCTCCTCCCCTTAAACTGTGAATGGCATTTTAGGTCCCAAACTGGGCAATCAATATGTCTCTCTACACCTCCTCAGAGCAAAACAACTCCACAAAATTATTTAATTGCAAGGAGAATTAGAGTAAACCATGCAAGGGGCTTCCATTTCCCTCTCCTTTCTAGTGCCGTCAAAGGGGAAACAATGAAGTATTCCCTTCCTTGTGGTAATTCACCATAGATTGCTGATCATCTCCTCCCACTAGCAACAGGAAAACAGCAATCCAGTCTCTCTTAGCATCCTTATTAAGTTATAAACCACCAGATCTCTTCTTTTCCCACCAGTTCATTTTCCCACCAGTTCATGATATGGGAAAGAGTGAGAAAGGAACTCAGGGTGAACCATCACAGCAGTGAAGGATATCCATTTATATTGTAAAGGATTTTGAGGGGGAAAAATTGTCTGAGGCTGAATATTTTTTATCTGTAACCAATCTACACTTTATTTAAATAGTTTAATTCATCTTTTGTTGAATGTTATTAATTGATTAAATGAGAAACACTTGAAATACATTCAACCAGAAGTTCGCAAATGCATTAAACCAGAAATTCCACAAACTTTGTAGAACCACAACTACTTTGTGTGAGTTTCTGCAAGCAAAGGGAGTGAGTTTGTTCTTGTGCATGTCTGATCAGGTTTTTTTAAGTGCAACCTTTTCAAATTATTGGGATCTTCTGGAGAATCCTAGTTTGAGAATCCTACATTAGATACGTTTTTAAAATACAGGGAGACAATAAAGTTCCCAATCTCACAGAAAAATTGGCACCATTCATGACAATCAGATATTGGTTTTGATTGGTCCTGGTAATGTTCATGTTGCTTCAGTCAGTGATGAATGCAAACAACGTAACTAGACCTTACAAATTTACTGCATAAACATTCTTAGGAGGTTCTCATGCATCTGATGTGTCAGCGTATGTCTGAGTGGGATTGCTATGGTTTTGTCACATCTAGTCCTTCAGTTTTTGTAAAGCAGCACTGGCCCTTTGGGGGTTCTAAAATGGCTTCTCGGATCTTACTTAGACCCCTGCCAAAACCATCACTGCAAACACGGCAAAGTCTGTGAATTAGATGAAAACAACACTCCAATGTGTGTATGCCAAGATCCTTCCAGCTGCCCAACCAGCACTGCAGTGTTTGAGAAGGTAAGCAAAGACTTTAGATACAACACAAGGTGAGTAAATATATACCTGTATAAGAAATAAAAGAAAGATACTCAGCTATAGTGAAGCTAAATTGTAACTACATATTCAAGATTGTAATTAATTGCACGTAAGGTTCCCCAGTGAAAGCTGATGTAGTTACTGTACGGCTTACTACCAATTCTGCCTTTATTTAAAAAATTGTGGGGAGGATTGTCCTTTAATTTTGGAGGGAACTGGATCAGGATAGGAGGATTTACCTGGGCACATGTAGGGTAAGATTATGAATGAAAGCCAGATTGGTTGGCAGTACATAATTCTGTTCATTTCTGAATCTCTGCAATTGTAGATTGCAGAAGGCGGGTGAGAATGGGAGGTAGTGCTTACCAATGGTTCTCTCTGTGTTGGATAAAAAACAGAAAGCAACATTGGGGGACTTCAACTCTACCATTTTGGATTTTACCACCACAAATGTCTATCTTGAACCTTATACTCTTTTAATATTTATACAGCATGCAACTGTTTTGAAATGTCATTCATCATTTGGAAATGCAGTGACATCTGTGAACTTTCCATTTTCTTTGAATTCGGGAAAGTGCGCTTAGTCCTTGAAAAAGTCCCAGTTGCGTTATGAGTCTATGAAACCTGACAAATTGAAGTTTAATCTGAGCAGATTTGTTGATTTGTTGTCCTAGAGTAGGAGAAAGACCATGGTCCATTTGGACACTTTTTCTAACACAAAGAACCTTTTTCACAATTTTCACAAAGGTATGTGGTACTGACAACAAGACCTATGACACCTCCTGCCACTTCTTTGCCACCAAATGTACTTTGGAAGGCACCAAGAAAGGACACAAACTTCACCTGGATTACATTGGACCTTGCAAAAGTGAGTCATTATCCTTAAGAATGGAACAGTCCAATTAGAAAATAACTGCTTAGTAATGCCCTTGTTAGGAATGACCATGTTTTCAGAATATATGGACTTTGACATTCATGCAGTCTGAGGAATTTACGTAGAGGTCACATTGGCAAGGACTGCAGGGTGACTTTGATAATGGGTATCCTGCAATTTTTTTGTGCCAGTTGGTAAATGATCAATCATCTAGCATTGAAGTCTAACTTTAATCTATTCTTTGATTGCCCCAAAGGTGCATCTCCATAGACTATTTTTCAAGAGGCAACTGGACTTTCTGGGTTGTTTTTTTTAAAGTCGTTTCACTTCTCATCCAAGAAGCTTCTTCAGCTCCAGCTGGATGGTGGGGAATGGAAGTCTATCTCCAGTTTACAACACAGTCTTTTCAACAATTCCAAGAAGGCTCCACACCCATTTGTATTACTCAGGTGATCCTGATGATAAACCTCCAGGTGTCCTTAAGGACTCACTAAAGAATGCAAATGACCAACTGTCTGCAAGAAGTGTAAATCCTTCCATTCCTCACCATTCACTCAGAGTTGAAGAAACTTCTTGAATGAGAAGTGAAATGTCTTCCAAAAAAAAAAAAAACCCCAGAAAGTCCAGTCGCCTCTTGAAAAAGCATTTGGGACGACCATAACCTAAATGACTGAGAATCTCCATAGACTATTCTTCGATTGTGACAATTTGTTTCCTCAGCTCCTTTATTCAGCAATGGTTCCTAAAGGTTAAGCCATATTCCCCTCCGGCCATTCATTCATTTTTATAAAGGTCATTGTGCATATTGCCAGAAAGACTTTCCCTCTTTGTGCAAATAGCAGAGCACAGACAATGATAACACATCAGTGCTTACTCATTCCCTTTCTAACTGCTGAGTGCAATCCCTTCTCCCCAGTTACAGATATTCCATGAATTAACACTCGCCTTTACAAGTAAATCAAGTAAGCTTTTAGCATTCCCCTTGCCCACATATAACATATAATTTTACTCATATGCATTTAGGTGCAATTGTTTGATGCTTTGTGAACCATTTGTTCTGATAGATGACAGCTAGAAAGGAAATTCCTTTTAAACACACACACACACACACACACACACACACACACACACAC